ATTACCCCTTAAAAAGTAAATTTTGGATAAATATTGATGGATAAGTAAGTGTCCCATCACTTATGTGAGATTTTTGCTCCGTTCTAAACATTATATTTTTATTAAATTAATATTTTAATATTTGAGAAAATGTATGTTATGTAATAATTGTTACTAAATTTAAGTATGAAACACTCCCACAAAAAAAATTTTTACATGTTTTCTTAATTTATTTTACTACAGTTTCCTTTTGTAAAGCGCAAGTATCCCATCACTTTTGTGAGACTCTGTATTTATAACTGAGTTTGTTCTGTCATTATATGGCATTAATGCCAAATGAAAGTTCAGTACATTTTTAGAAGCCCATTAAATAACATGTCATACCTTTCGCCATTAAAGATGGTAATATCAGTTATTTTTAAATTCCTACGGTTAGTCAAACTCTCCCTATATCTTGAACAAATTTTAAATTGCTAATAAAATACTTTTTATATTGGTGAACAATACCTGTGCAAATATAGCCTATAACTCTGAAAATTTATTAACTGAAAGAAGGTTGAAATATCTTAAATTTTACAGTTAAAATAGAAAAAAGTAATGTGGTTGAAGTATTGAAGAAAACAAGTACACTCACTTCATGTGCACATTTAGCTTTTATTTATTCTTTTTTGAAATTGATTTTTAATATTTATTTTAGATTTGTGGTAATGTGTTTGCTTATAATTATAATATGCTTCCTTAAAGGTCTATGTGTAAGGGCATAATTTTGAAATATGTTATTAAAAATAGCATATTAGCACATATACAGTCCAGTTTTTCATAAGAAACTAGTTGACAGAAATTTGTTTTCCAAATTTAGTAATTTCAGTTATTAAGAGGATATAATTTAAGAGCTATAGTTAACACATTTTTTTAGTGTTTTGAAAGATTCAAACTAAATTGAAAGACTGGTGTTTCTGATTGTTTGAGTAAGGGAAGATGAAGGAAAGTGCCTTAGTTTAATGGCTTAGTTTCCCCAAAATTAAAAAAAAATTAAAAAACGTTAGCTGTTTATTTATTTAAAATAATTTTGTGTTAAATAAAGTAACTTTATGGGTGCAAATGTAAAGAGAACTCGGAAAAATGGGTGTAAATTAGTTCACAGCAGTATTATCTTTATATTTGCAATAAAATTTCATAAATTTAAATTTAAATTAACTTTAAATTAGCTTTATAGAAGGGAGAATATCTGTTAAAAATTATTCCTGCGCAATGGCAAAAAAAAATTAAATTAAATTTAATTTACTATATCTTGTGAAAAAGTTATTTTTAGAAATAGTATCTGAAATGTTTAAAATGTTAAAAACACAAATTAAATAAAAATAATGTTTTTAGTTCATAAAATTTTAAAAAATTTGCTCTTAAATAAAAAGCACAGAGGATGTTTACACATCTTTTACAGCAATTTAAGAGCTGTTTAACTAATGTTTAAAATGTAGCAAATATTTTTTACATCATAAACATTTGTTCGATCTGATAGCCTTTTTACTGAATTATAAGTCTGAATCATGATTTTCATGATAGAAGAGTTTTTTATAAAATTCTCATGGATATTGATTTCCATGCCTCTTCCACTACATTCTTAAGTCCATCAATCATGGTGGGTCTGCACTTAGAAAGAGCTCTTTTCAAGAGACCAAAGACACAGTACTCCATAGGTGAATATTTGTAGGAATATGTTGAAATTTTAATAATAGTTATCAGTCTTCATTTTTCTAGGCAGCTTGAAATAACTTGTGCTTTAAATTGAGGAAGTTTCCTTTTAAAACCTCATGGTACAAAGAATAGAATTCGGTAACGTAAATTTTCTCTGATGCAGTGAAATTGTTTCGTAAATTCTTGGAAAATTTATTTTTGAAAGTCGCAACTCTTTGCCTAGTTCATAACAGAAACGGGTTTAACATTTTTTTTTGTTTCAATTGATATTAGACCTTTCAGCTTTCTCCTTGAGGGAACAATTTAACCAAAACACATTCCATACTAATTTTGGTCCGGGTTTTTGTTCATTGCAAGGCATGATTGATGATATCTTTCCCTTCTGATTAAAAATATTGTATTTTGCACGTTGATTTTTATTGCCGTTTTTTTTCATGCAAAGCTGGAATATTTCTCTTTGGAAAATGCAAAAATCTATCCTTCAATCCACAGCGTGTTTTCGTGCGATATTTTGTAAGAAGAATAAATTTAAAGATAGCAGACATTATTTCTCATTTCAAATAATAAACTGTTGTCAGAAAGTTTAATTCTTAAACATTTGCTTCCTTTAATTCTTTTTTTAAATTGTTCTAAAAGTGTGTAAATACTTTCTGTATATCCAAATATATATATATATAAAAGAAGAAGTATGTACAGTTTTGGAGGAAAAAAGAAACTATTTAAAATCTTAGAATTTATGTGTTACTACAAAGTTTCATCATAGTTATTAAATTTTTAATTTTGAATACAAACTAATGTGGGTACTTTAATGAATACCCATCCTTTAATGGGTTATTAGAAATCTATTTTATTTATAGCATTCTTTGTATGAAATAATGTAACTGCTACATGTACAATGACTTTTTAAATAGGTAACCTATATTATATTGAGCAATGTATATTTATAACATCAAAGATAAATGAAAGATTTTATGCATTACTGATTGCCAAGGTTTGTTCATACTGGACATAATTTAAACACATCTTTGGCATGAACTTAAAGTGCAGTAATTAAAATAGTGTATGGGGTAATATAACTAATTTTATTATTCTGTTTTTAAGTTTTGAAACATTTTTAATGTAAATTAGAATTAGAATTTATTTTAATATGTGTTGTTGCTAATTCAAATGCTTTTAATTCAGATGTAGTTTACGAGGTGCTTGTGCAGAAGCTGCTCAAGATCCTTTATATTGGTTGTCTTACAAAAGTGGTCGCTGCACAACTATTACTGAAGTACAACCTCCTCAAATACAACGCACAACAGCTCGTATTGTAAGTAATACTGTTTTGTGAAAATTAATATACTTCTTGGGCTCTGTTTGTTTTTGAAAGAAAAATGCTATGTCATTTTGACAAAGCTAGTTGAAAATAACGGTACTTTCCCATTTTGCCGGCGCAGGCGATAATGTCGCCAATAATGGTACAACTGATGCCAAATGGAATATCCTTGCTGATAACCTTTTACACCTCATTTTCAGAACAAGTCACAGCTATTTCTTATCAGATTGATTGTTTCTTTCAACACTGGCATACAATTACGTAGAATTTTTACCAGATATTTCAATTTTATGCCTTAAGGGCATTTATGGTAATTAAGTCAATTGGGATGCAATCACACTTCTCACTCGAATGTGAAAATATAGGAAACGCAAAGTCAAGAGTTAAATTAATCAATTCTAATGAGAATGTACTAGCGAAATAAAGCACTGCGGTTTTACATAATTTCTGAGTAGGCTATTCGTACGAATTGAAATAATTCTTTCATTTAAACTTGTATTCCAAATTAAGATTTAACCTGAAATTAATATAGATAATTACTGAGAGAATTAGGTTTTTGTAGCGTAATTTACGTGAGATGAGATCACTTTGGGTCACGTGATATGAACTGGCGAATCAGTATGTTGAACCATAAAAGCATAGTAAATTCTCAAATTAATGTCTTTTTACAAATTTAATGGCTTTATACATAATTTTAAATGTAATTATGTATAACGTGCCTTTATACATAATTTATTATCTTTAAATGCCAGTATAAATATTGTTAATTGAAAGAAGATATCAAAGTAAAGCCACCTCTGTTTGTTATGTAGAATCATTGCAACAAGAATTGGAGTTTGATTCCAATATTGCTCATAAAATTTTAAGTTGTTAAGCAAGAATCATAGCAAAGGTCAAGACCGTTCCTAAGACTGCTGCCCCTAAATTTAAAAAAAAAAAGCTTCTCAATGATTAATAAAATATTTATTTCATATTCACTAAGTACTTACATATGACATGTATAAAAAGTAAAAGTATATATATATAAAATATGTATTCTGAGAGTCCGGCCAACCGTGTACTTTTTTTTTTACGCACTGTACCCCCGCTAGGAGTGGCCCTGGTAAAGCATTTTTTGTAAGGACTATACATGTATGATGATATTTGTTTGTAATAAGTTGATATAATGTTAAATTAAGGAAGAAAAATTCCTGCATGCAAAACATACTTGTTCTCGTATTGGAAAATAATCATATGATCATGTAACTCTTCATGCTTTACTATTATAATAGTAGTTTCCTATTTTATGTGTATTAATACATTTTTTGAGCTGATGAATAGTAATGCAAACATGAAACTCTGCAGGATTTGCTTTAGCTAATAACACTTAATAGAAATTTCTTCATATTGTTCTGGTTCAAGGTACATATCAACATAAAATTCAAAGTTTAATTAATTTTTTTTTTTTAAAGTTGAATAATAGACTGTTTCAGAGCCATACTATTTTTTTGTTCATTCCAAATTTTTTGTAATATTTTAACACTTTCATAATTTTAAAAATCCAAATAACATCTTTCTAAAGCTAGTTATTGTTTTAATATATCTAAAAATATCTGTATATTGGACAATAATATAATTCATAAAGAGCAGCTATATTGTAACAATTTAGCCCCAAAACTGCAGTTTATAAATTATGTTGTTTGAATTCCTTTTTTCCCTCTAGCAGAACAATATTTATCGATTCTCCATTACGATCTAACCTATGCTTATAATATACTAGTAGATGTAAACATTTATGTCTTTGAGATAAGTTAGGTAATACTTTCCCATGATTTATTATTTAATGTAATTAATTTAGCATAAAGTTTCTTGTATGTTGGTATTTTTAGAGCACATTTTTAAGTTATATTGGAGCTTCATGTTTCACTTCTTTCATAATCAGTATGTGTTGTTAATGTCTTTTCTCACATTAGTAATTCATATCTTTTAATATTTTTAGTTGAGCCTAGTAATAGACAATCTACCAGCATTAGAAGGGCAATTTTTCTGTGCTTTTAGCGCATTTGGCAAAACTCTTAAAACAAATGCCACACGCTCAGCTAGTGGTGTGAATTGCCCAACACCTCACACAGATTCTTTGCCAACAATACCACCAGGGAAGCGTAAGTATGATAATATGATAATTCTTTTAAGTATATGTATGACTTTTTTATAAGATTGGTAATCTCTGAATGGTATGGTCTTTTATAGTATTCGTGTATCACCAGTCTCATTGGCATCTCACAGAATATATTTATTTATTTAAATAATAAAGTGCGTTTAAAAAATTATACAGTCAAAAGTCGTTAATTCGGACCTCAAAGCTACAAACTTTCTACGCATGCATCGCGTTGACGCATGCGTGTAAGACCTTTACGGCTGTGAATATGTGTGTGTGCATGCGCAAAATACGTTTACGCATGCGCGTTTAATGTATAACGGATGGTATAAGCTAAGCTAAAATTATCTAATTCAGTTAATGTTGCAGATTGCGTTGTTCCTTAATCTTCGAATTGGATCCGGCTTATTATTTTTTGCAGACTGTTAGGGCAAATTTATAAAAGTAAGCTTGAACTTTCGATTATGTCAAATAGAATTTCCGATATATATTTACTAATATGTAAAGGATCTACAAAGCGAAAGTATGTTTCGAAGTCCATTAAACAAAAAGTGGAATTGCAGCAAAAAATGGATAAAGGCATATTCTTTGTTTATCTAACCATTCCGAAATCTGTTTATCAATTCACGCTGCTCTGTGGCGAGAGGGGGGGGGACGTCGAGGCGCGCAATTAACTGGAAGTTGATCTGTCAGCACTATCCTTATCTTCAGGGCAGATGTTTTTATTTTATTTGGCTTCCTTACTAAATGTAGTATTTCATCTCGATGTACTCCGTCTTTGATATGATTTAAATCAAATTCCTCGTCATTATAATTCGCTTCCAATAGCGAAGAAAGTGACACAGAGGTTATTGAAAACGAAAAAATTTCGATTGACAAATTAGTCGGTATTCTCGACACAGCAATTAGAGGACTTGAACAGCGGAACTTTGTAAGTGAACAAGAAATTATGTCTGTTTATAGAATTAAAGAGAAAGTATTATCACATAAAACGAAGCAACTTAAACAACTTACATTAAAAGAAATTTTTAATAAAGTAAACAAATAAATATTAAGCTTTTTTTTTTTTTTTTTTGTGTAAATTTTGATACCCTTTAGATCATAATTGTTCTTTATTTCATAAATTACGGTTTCATATTTTTAATTTTATAATTTCTGCATGCCATCTTACCAGATTTAAACTGATGATGTGTAATCAGGAAAAATCGATAATCCGGAATCGCCGATGTCCCGACGAGTCCGGATTAACGACTTTTGACTGTATCTGATAAACGTTTAATTTTGTTTCTAGTTTATAACTAATATTGTTATATGTAGTTTTTTTATGTGTAGATTATTAATGTTATTGCTTAATGAATGAGTCTTTAATGCATAAACCAAAGAATGAGTCTTAATTAGTCCTAAGCTTTAAATGAGTCTCATTATCCTCCATTTAATTAGCCTATATTTGATGGACATTTTCTATTCTTTTCTTTATATAGTTCAATTTAACTGACTTTAACTTTGTAAAGCATTTATTGTGCTTCTATTAATTCCAAATTCAGCTGTTTAGAGTTAGCTGTTATGTGAACTAAATGATGGCTATTGTAGATTACCTTATATCAAAATGTCACCACTTGTCACTTTTTACCTTTTTTAGGGGAGAGGGAGTTTCATTTTTCTATGATTGTACTAAAATATTTCTTGATAAAAATTTGATAAGCTACAATTGTTACATAATAGAAATATCATAAAAAATTAAAGTTCCTGTAAATTTCTCTTTTCAGCTATATATTCTATTAAAAGTAATAAAAACAAAAGTATTTTCCATTAAAGCATTAAATTTATATGAAAATTGTCAAATAAAGAGTGCAGCAGAAAGAACTCCCCAATTTAGGAGTAGTGTAGCCAAAGAACGTTTATGTAAAGAAGGAAAGGCTCCATAGATATAATGTAAAGTTTGTCTTCTACGCCGCTAAGAAAGAAGAGAGAAAATTCGCCAAGGGATTTGGTGATGGAACCTGTTGGCGAGAATTCCCCTCTCTGTGATGTAGTCGACCTGGCCGAGATTTTCCTCCTCTGCCACATGTACAGGAAATTGAGGAACACGGGTTAAGATGAATAAGAAAATTAGGTGAAGTTTCACTGTCACTGGCTGTTGAACTTGCATTATCCGTATCGCTGTTTGATGTCTGATTTTATATCTATCAATATGGAGGGAAACAAAATGGAATCACACAGCTTTAAACTCTTGTTAAAAGTAACCGTCAAACCTGTTCGAATTTCGACATCAGCTTCGAGCTTTGGCACTTTTTGGCAACAGATATTTTACGCATGCGCAGCTTTTTCCCTTTTCGTTTGAAGGGAGCCACTCCTGCTGCTGTGAAGTTTTCCTTCTTCACAATATTGGTATAGCTTCTTTGGTATAGCTATGCCTCTGGAGGGGCTGTGTTTGATGGGGAGGATACCATCAAATAGTGACATTAAATGCTCACATAGACCATAACTTGATGAGAACATTGTGCTTTCATTATAGAGCACTTATTCACAGTGGCAATTTGCTGTCAAAATACAATGGCAATGTAACTTGCCTTTTGCATCAGCTTTGCAATCGATACAAAAACCGTATTCCTGACGAAAATTTAAATAAATACATAAAAAAAAAAGTTGAAGGCTTTCAGATTTTATATTTTCAGATATCATATTTATTTCAGATTTTATATTATATTTTTATATTTTCTGAAAGCTTTCAGATTTTATATTATGCCCAGAGGGGCATTTTTTACTGTTTTGTGTCTTACCTTTACTTATTAAATATCATGTTCTTCATACTTAAACCATAAAATTCAATTCAACAGCAATATCGCAAAATAATTTTAAAATGAGCATATCTTTAGAAGTTCTGATACACAATCTCACGTGCTGGAGATAAATATGGTTTGTTTGTTGTTTTCCTGTACAGTGTTGCCATTGCTCGCTTTGAAGTCGTTGAGTTTGTTAATCAAAAACAAAATAAATATGAAATTAATAATAAAACCAATTTCAGATTCCAAATTAGGCCTTCCAGATGCCCATACTCGGTGCAGGATTATGTTATTCAAAATTTCATGGCTCTAGGTATCGCCGTTTTATCACAATGTGAGAAACATACATATATTTTTGCAGATTCTTCATTATTTAATTTCGTTAAATATAATACAGGGCTCTAACATTTGGTGGTAACAGTTTGAAAAGTGATTTGCCATCAATGTAAAATGTCGAAACAAAATTAATAGCCCTCCTGGGCTAAACACATATATTTATGCAGATTCTTCATTATTTAATTTCTTTAAATATAATACAGGGCTCTAACATTTGGTGGTAACAGTTTGAAAAGTGATTTGCCATCAATGTAAAATGTCAAAACAAAACTAATAGCCCTCCTGGGCTAAACACCCTTTGGGCTAAAAATTACCTTCGGGTGTGCAATTTTCAAAACCCGTGGAGTTCTTTCTGAAACACCCTGTTGTATTACAGATATTGTATGCACTTCGTAGATCTTCAGTCAGGGCTACAGCATGTGTTTCTTATGAGGGATTGTTCGGTATATCTGATGGAAAACTGATGATAATAGTGTCAAACTAAAAAACTAAAAGAAATGGTAGAAGAAATGGCAAACTTAAAAATAAGTATAATATTTAAAAGTGATAAAAATATGGGGAAATTTCTGCATTTTCTTGTGGACATACATCCTGTAGTGTTTTAATTTTTATGCATAGTTTGCTATTATTTTATTACATAGCTTTGCTTTTGGGTGTTGTAATTTTAAAATTCTTGTAATTAGCTAATTAAGCTGCTCTATATCATTTTTAGCTTGGTGTTGAAGACTGTCATGACTTTTCGTGTCTTAATACCAATTTATTTCTAATTTTTATTTTTGTATTTCAGACCATTTTACTGCCAAATTATCTGTTAGAATGAAACCTGGACCAGATTTTGTTGCTACAAATTTTACATTTTATGACTGTAGCACCTACACTTCGTAAGCAGAAATTTTATATCTTATTCTATAAAAGACTATTTAGGATATTTTTATCTCATATAAGTTCCTTTATGAAATACTGGTATTTCCAATGATGTTATGATCATATTTGTTGTAAAATTATATTCAATTAATAATCAGATTTCTGATTGACTTCCCAAATTAAATAAATGTTTCAAGCCATTATATATCATACTGGATTTAAAACCTCTTCTTTTTCTTTATTTGATGTGTATAAGCTTTTGTTTTTATTTCATTTTAACTATTTTTTTTTAAAAAATGTGAGTTTTAAAAAAATGTAAAAATGTTTTTAAGCAAAACTAGCTTTATCAAATGTATAACTTTCATGAATTGGATATGTGATAGAAGATAAAGCAAACAGTTTGCTGTTCTCATCTTTATTATTCTTCTGTTGAAAATGGAAAAGTTAATATAATAATACCCTACAAATCTGTAGATAATGCATTCAGAGACTTAACATAGATGATAGCGAATGCTGTATAAAGCAAGATATTTGTGAAACATACATAAATACTATCAGGTTTAATTAATAAATTATATGCTGCAGTAAATTACCTGTTAGTGCATTGTAGTACATATTTCCTACAGTGTGCTTTCTCATGAATATGAAAGTAAAAAATTATGGCATTTTAATCTAATGTGCAAAAGATGGAGAAAGAAAAAATTCAATTTTTGTACAGCTACAGTGGCCAACTTCTGTACACAGTAACGATCAAAAGAAAATTGGTGTTGCAAGCTGCATAATATATTTTATTTAGTCAATAAAGACCACATATATTCAATATTAAAAGTTATTAAGAAGAAATATATCCGGAAATAATATATGTATGTATTATTCAAAGGTGTTATGAATTAATATTAATTTCAAATTTGTTGTGAACGAGTAGTAAAAAATTAATAAAAAATATGACCAGGAATAATAAACACTGTTTGGGATTTTAATTGCTACAAATTAGTTTTTGTGTATAATTTTTTAGAGAGAATAGCATAAAGACTGAAACAAACAAAGAAATAAAGGCTGGAAACATGCTGCTGTAAAATGATTAAATTTTTTTAGCATTTAAAATACGTATAAAGTCTACATAATTAATAAATTTGTGCATTATGTGCATTTTCTTAAGGAAGAAAAATTGATCATCTTTGTGTATGTCTGTCTTCATTATTTTAACATATTATGACAGCTTTTAGATTACAGCATTTTTTTTATAAATGTCAGCACTTTTATTTGTAATCATATCAAAGTGTGCAACCATTTTTCTTTTATCACTAGCTGCACTCAGTGTGTTTCAAGTGACTTTCCTTGTGATTGGTGTGTTACTGGCCATCGGTGTACACATGATACTGGAGAAAACTGTCGAAATGATGTACTTGTTACTGGGGTTTCTGTAAGTAATTCTTTTTGTTTCCATTAGAGGTGCATTTAGTTTTTAATAACTTGAAAGTATTAATTTTTTTATTAAGAATGCTTTACTTTTATTTGTATTATTGGCAGTTACTTATTTTATGTTTTTAATTAGAAAATAAAATTTAGGAGAAGAATGGTGCTTTATATTACTTCTAAACTATTTCAAAGTGAATTAGTGCACAGTATGCTTAATTTTTTAATGAAATGTAAAGTTCGCTTATACTTCATGATTTATTTGAATTCTCTAATGCATTTGCACATGAGAATTCATCATAAGTAATGCATTACAAAATTCTGTTTTGTTATTTTTTCGAAGTAATGGTATTGCATGAAAATACTGCAACTACAAGCAAGCTATAATATTTAAATTCAATTTATGTTTACACTCTGTTTTAATTTTAATTTAGATGAAATATTCCCATTTGCTATCACTTATTTATAGATGCGCATAAAGGAAATTGCATGAAAAAAATTTTATTGCAGCTTAAATGACTTCAAAACATAATTTTTAGAATGAAATAACTGAATAACTTGTTTAGGGTATTACAGATGCATTGTCTGTTTTTTAAAAGTACATGATTTATTATACCTGACTTGAATTTTTGAAGAAACGTTTCATAAATATGAACATAAAAATTATGAAATGCAAAACTGGTACTTCTTTATTACTGCAGCCCTTAAGATTGAATCACCAATCAACTGAGATATCTCACCAAAATCTGGCTGCGTGTTCTTATACCTCACCATGTTGCATTTTTGCTCTTGCCATGTCTTCTTATATTATTCATTTTTGATGAGGTTTTTGAATTCGCATTGATTATTTTAAAATATATTAATTTTTTGTGTGATATGATGTCAACAATCTTTAATTTACCAAGTAATGAGGTTGATGCCATATCATTTTTTCAAAAGAGAGGTCTTTTACCTGACAAACAAATATGCGAAAATGGTCATAACATGAAACTTTATATTAATGACAAAACCATTTGAAAGTGCGATGTTAAAAATTTCAAAGGGCCTGTGTATTGGAAATTGGTTCAGTGCTTCCAGAATATCTCTCATCACTGCTATTAGATTTATGTATTCTTGGACAGAGGAGTTTACATCCATGAAATGGTGTAACAAACAGTTTAATATGTGTGGAACTGCTGCAGTTGACTGGAACAGTTACATGCAATAAAGTAATAATAACAAGGATAAGAATTCTTAGAAATATTTTTAGGAAACAGCATGTGAATGCTGTTGTTAATATTATATATTGTGTTGTTTGTTTTTACATTCATGCTTCACAAATTGCAAAATTATAGCTGCAAAATTATATTGCTTGCAAAATTATAGCTGAGATCTTGGTACAATTCTAAAATTGCCAAATATGGTTGGGGGCTGCTGTAACAAAGAAGTACCAATGCAAAATTGTATATCAGTAGGTATTTTTACTTTCTTGTACAAAGTAAAAAGGAAGTATTGTGATCGTGAAAAGTTTCAGGCAGCATATTTCCACGAAAATATCCATTTTGACCGTTATCGAATTCAATTTAACAATGTTTTTGCGTGACATCTGTACATAAGGACAGAATTAAAGACTCTTTTCCTCTAAAAAAATTATAAAACTGCTTTAAAATGAATTCTGAAAAGAATTTTTCATGGCGTCCGTACGTATATATGTTCGTACGGATGCCACGAAAAATTATGCGAGATACGTACGTCCGTACAAACATAATGTACGGACGGACGTATCTCGCATAACTCAAAAACGAATAGCCTCAGTACGTTGAAATTTTGTATATAGGACTGCTATAACAATGTAGATATGCACCTCGTATTTTGGTTGCAATCGGCCACACCAAACATATATAAATATATTTATATATATATCCACTCTGTTACTCGAAACAGTGATCTCGGTTTCTTTACTCTTATATGTTTGTAAATTGTACATTTTTTGCTTTAAAAATGATTGAATTATGTTGTTCTTATCTTCCGGTTGAGGTTTTTATGGCTTTCATAAATCTGGAAGCAAGATTTGTACAATTATCAACAATTTAAAAGCTGTTTAAGTGCGGTTAAGCTTTAAATAACACGGTGGACATATTTGTTTACATTTGAAACAGCAGAATAGTAGATTTGTTGCGAATCTAGAGAGACTAAGCTTCACAACAACAAAAAATAATGCCTTCGTTTATTATTGCGAATTAAATCATGCTTAATTCTTTCTGGAATTTTTTCGAGGAAATAAGTGTTTAAGATTTACTTCGTAATTTTGAATAGAGATATTTTGAGTTTTTATGTATTTTTGCCCTGTCACGAAGTGAGAACTGAATTAATTGAATGAGAAATACTAAATCATGTCTGAAAAACTGTTTCTTTTTGGTTTTGTTTGCTTAATTTCTTTTATACATCATTCTAGCTTATAGTATTTGAATTGAACATGTGGCAACGATAAGATAATTCTTCAAATGAAATAAATTTTGCGCATTCTGAGTTATAATATGAACGAAATGTTAAGTGAACCTAGAGTGTCGCTATGGTAAACTAATATAGTGAATTTTGAGTGCATTTATTCTATTGTGGTTTATGTACTGTCGATGAAGTAGATTTAATTCAGTTCAATAAGTTTAAATGAAATGCAAGAAAAAATGCATATAATTTAATATTCCGTACAAAGAAATCATGTGGTGTACACATCAGATTTTTTATATTACATTGCGTATTTTAAATAGTTTATTTTTAAAAATTTAAGTTTAAAAATTAAGTTTAAAAATATGTACATTTCTTATTCAAAATTCTTTTTATTACAGAGTGTTGGTCCTAGCATACGATCTGGTCCTGGTTTTTGCCCACGAATAAACAAAACACAGAATGGTTCTACTGAAATACTTGTCGCTTCTGGTTTAAAGAGAAGAATTACTGTTAAAGTGGATAATATACAGGTGAGAATAAAATTTAAAAATATGAAAGAAATTTTCGTTTCAACTTGTACATGTAAAAATATTTCTTAAATTTGAAAGATATTATCTTTTTTTATTCATAATGAAAAAGGTTAAATTATACTGTTGTTTAAAACACTGTTTTTCAAAGGCAAACAATAATTTGTTTAATCGTAAAGCATCTGTCCCCATTTGATAGAAACACAAAAATGCACTTGGCAGTTAATTTATTGATATCCCATTTTCTGTTTAATCTAGACTTTTTAGACTATAAATTCTAATCTAGAAAACTGAATAATTTTAGAGTCCTACTTTCCAGTGCATTTATGTAAGAAATGTGAAACAGAAAGGTAGTAAAACAGCAATTAAGGCATTCGAAAAATACTATTTCAAAAGTATTTCAGACACCAAAACTAACTCAGTCTAAAGCAAATAGTTGAATATTTTTTATCAAAATTAATATCAGTTTTTTGACAGTCTTGAGCAGTTTATGAATTCATAAATTATTCATAAACTAAATAGGTTGTTTTGTAACTGACATATCAACCTAAATAATTTTATCATATGTTAGTGTGCTTCATTTTTATTGATAGCTTTGGATTTAAATTTAGTACTTTGAAGTGAGAGGTAATTACAATACATATTAAATAGTGCAGGGTAAGAAATTCTTTACCCGCTTTTGTTTTTTAAAATTACTTAGTACTAGTACTGTAATGAACTATAAATGAAGAGTGGTGTTCTTCTAAACTTATTTGAGTTAAATTTACTGTAAAGAATTAGTGAATGAAATAATGCTTATGTTTTGCCTGTTGGCCGTAGTTATGCACCCAGTTCCATCAAAATTTTGATATTTTATCATAAAAACATAAATTTGTTAGGAAAGTAATATCATTAAATAATTTTAGATTTAATGTTCTTTCTCTCTCACTAAAAGCTGCGATTCAGTTTTTTACATAGCGGTTAACTTTAACCATTTTCATGGTGTTAAAGACTTAAGAACAACTTCATTGAAGTTAATTCAGTTCATATTTGCTTTTGTATGTAATTTTTTAATATACTGTATAATAAAATTATGGTGTTTAATCTCATATATGGGAAGATGTTAATGCATACAGTTTCGTATGCAACAACTCTGTGCCTTTTATGCTGTGTTTATGTTAGTTATTACATAATAAACTGTGTTTGTGTAATTTATAAATTAATGACATCCTACTCAGGAATTTATGGTTTGATAACATCAATAATATTTTATAAGTTTATTAAAAAGCATTGTTATTACTTTTCTGCAGCAGCATATAGCTAGAATGAGGTTCTTATGTCAGTTCAACATTGAAGGACGCGTAAAACAAGTAAATGCTCAGCTGATTGGGGAGATTATGTATTGTGAAGAGCTGGAGGTAATGAAATTGAATTGATTCAAATTTAAATGGCATGAAGTGTTGCATTTTTAGATTATGAATTGTATAATATATTAGAATTCTATAATATATTAGAATTCTGCATTTAATAGTCTGTCTTTTTTTCCAGAAATAAAGTGTAATTGCATTATTTAAAAATAAGGGGACAGAAAATTTATGAAAAGACTTTTTCATCATATTTTTAATTTTTATCTTAGAATATTCTTCATTAAGAATGTATTTGTGCATTGAGAAAAAAATAAGAATAAATTTATTTTTATGAATAGTCTGTTGCATAAATTTTACAAATTAATAAAAAAATTTTGCTGTTAATTTGCATATTTTATATCTTGAAAAATATTTCATTTTTTAATTACTACTGAAATTTATAAATTTCTGTTTTTACCTTTCAGTTTTCATATAGTACTCAAGCACCAAATATAACAGCAGCATTTGCTGTTATTTGGGATGTCAACAAGCCCTTTGATAATCCAGAAAACATTCATGGTACGTTTGTACAATAGAAATCAACTTGCTGGTAGTTATTTTACTTTTAGTAGATTTTGTATCTCTTAATTTCATTTTATAATATTAATAAAAAAATTTTCACCAACCTGCTGATAGTTATTATATGTTGAGTAATTTTTGTCTCTTAATTTCATTTTATAATATTAATTAAAATTTTTTCTTTCTCTTTTTAGTTTTGATATTTAGATGTTCTGGCATGGCACAGAGTTGTGGTATTTGTTTAGAATTGCCTAAAAAGTATAATTGTGGCTGGTGCCAAGAAACCGTTAATTCTTGCCAAGTTTATGAAAATTGCAATCGGCTTCCAACTCTTTGGCTAGATAGACAACAGACTTGCCCTAACCCTCAGATTATATCAGTAAGAAGAATCATAAATTAATATTCATTATATATGTACGTGTGTGTGTGTGTGTGATAGGTTTTGCAGACGATGGAACCAATTCACTCTTTAGTCGTGATTGAGAAAAATCTGCTGTGTTGATGGCTAAAGGAAAAATTACTACTGGCTCTATTGTTGAAACATCATTTTTATTTTGGATAGGAAAAATTCTTCGTAAATTCATATTTGCTTAACCCCTTAACTGCCGCGGGCGTATATATACGCCTTGCTCAGCCGATGCGTTAACTGCCCCAGATGCGCAGCCGATGCGTTAACTTTGCGAATAATTTTAGGTGTAGCAGCGCAAAGCAAATGATAGCAGTTTGGAAGGACGTATATATATGCCTGGGGCAGTTAACGCATCGGCTGAGCAAGGCGTATATATACGCCCGTGGCAGTTAAGGGGTTAAATTGGTACCATGCTAAGGATGCTAAACATGCTCCACAATTTCTGTATACACAGTTTACATTTCAGATAATAATAAAAAAAAAAAAAAAAGAAGCTTAGAGATGCGACTTTCCTAATCAGAGCAAGCAGGAGTAAAAGTGATGCATAATAACTGCAGTAGTATTTATAGCTTGGAAAGTCTTTTTTCAGCAAAAAGTTTCATGGTGCAAAGATATTGTAGGGAAAGAGTGACATAACATGCTGCACAGGGATGCGAAACAGTGCAAAGTTTGCCCTTGAAGAAGGGATGTGTTTAATTAAAATTATGAATTTAAAGGTCTCTTACCACTTGGTTCTGATTAAGCTTAATAATTTTAAAATTTTTCGTGGAACTAAGAATCTTGTTTTGGCTGTTAAATTCCAATTATAGAATAGCTTTGTTAGCACCAGAGGTGCTATTAGTGTTGAAATTAATTTTTTGCTTGTAACAATTTTGTGGCCAAATGCATGCATTGCAGGTGTTTAGTAGTTCAGTTGAACAATTATTGTAAATATACCTGTTTACCTGCATACTACTACATATTTTTACCATGTTAAAAATGGCCATTAAATTTGTGACCATCAACTCTGTCACATCCTGTGTGTATGTATATGTATTCAATAAACTGTTTCAACAAAATGAGAGGGGTGATAGTATTAATCAAGATGCACAATAGAACCCAGAGTTGCATTCTATCTGGAATGTAAAAAAAGAAACAATTTCAATGTATGTGCAACAGGCACAAATCATCACATCTGATGTCATTACCTTTATGTCAGAGAAGTAACATATCCTTAGAAGTTCCAAGAAACAGCATCGACATTTGCAGTTGAGTGTTTCATTTGAGTTTAATAGAAAACCAAATGAAACAAATGCTGTTCATTAAAATCATTGTCAGTGCTTCAGGTTATTATCATAACACATCATCCATAATGACTTCATGAAGGGCCATGGCATGTTATACATATTAGGAATCAGCAGATATGTATATTCATATATATATATATATATATTAGGCAGATATATATATATTAGGAATCAGCAGAAACAAGTAAGAGTAGATGCGATTGTACCGTAAACAATTTTTGCTGAGTCATAATCCTTACATTTGTTCCTTTGCCAGTGATAAAGGAAGAATTGGTTCGTTTGCTATCTCAAAGGAGGATACAGGATGTGAGTAAAGTATTCAGATGCCAGAAATAGAAGAGTATATTTTGAGAGATTTGCAGCAGCTTGTTGCACAATTATGCAGATAGTGGTATCCGACGGTGAGATTTATTGAAATATAATGTGGATTGTTGTGCTTGGGACATGCATGCATCCTCTTCCATATGCAGAGTGGCTAATGTTTGAATGTAATCAGCTCCCCTTGTACAATTTGTAAAGTGGATGCCTGAGATGGCATCAGTCAGTTTTAGCATTATCCATTAATGAGACTTCGGTTACCTGGGAAGACATTTTCATCATTCGAAACGAGCATGTCTGAGCCGAAGTAAATTCCCACATCATTTGTAAACACATTTAAATTCCAGCAGAGATATGCTGGGAGAAAGTGGACAATTATACTTAGTGATTGCTTAGTAGGTCTTTTAATGTGTTCTGAATATCTGGCGGAGTTAATGTACCATGTCATCATTTAGCTCTGGTTTGTGCCTGATGCAACCCCAATGCATTACTAGTAGTTTGACTTTTACTGATTGCCACATATTCTGGATGTACTGGATTTGTGGCTGGGTCTCCATGCTGACTAGACTTGTTCCGGGAATGCACGACATCATTGGTATATGAGACAGCTGTGACAGTTTTGGAAGATCTTATCGGGAGAATCCTTATTATCACAGATAAGAGAAGCATGATACCAAACGTATGTGAGCATGAACATTCGACTCTTCAATTTTCTGACAGTCTGAATGGAATGCAGCCTTATGTTCCATTGAAAATATTGTTCATCTTGATAGATAATATCACTTCTATTATCTTGTTGAAACAATTTTCAAACACCATGTGTATGTATGCATATATATCGATATCTATACATCTCTCTCATCTCTCTCTCTCTTTATATATATATATATATATATATATATATATATTACATGCATATATATGTAATATTTAATATGTTACTTGAATTCCATAGGCATTTAGAAGCGATATTATGTATGTATATTGTTTATTTCTTCAATTTTCAGAATACATTTGTAAATTACCGTAATTTCGCACGTATAGTCCGCACCATCGTATAGTCCGCAGACACGATTTTATATAAAAAAAAATTTAAAAATTGTCAGATAGTCCGCACCACCGGATAGTCCGCGGACTATACGTCCGAAATTACGTTTTTTTAATACGGCAATATTCCCATGCTTTTTAAAAACAATCTTTTGTTTGCGCAAATTTCTCACCGCTTCTTGTCCACTTCAAAATAACGGAGTAAAATCCTAGTTACGGTGCAGCCTTGGCGCGACTTTGAAAATTATCGCCAACACCAAAAATGATCCAAAGAACGTCTATCTATATACTATACACGCATAGTATATATACTATATACATAGTATATACTATGTTTAAACTATATATTTCTTTGATGACCCGTTAACTACTCATCGTATATGTCCCGTTTTTACTGCTCATCATAAAGTCGCCAAAAGTAGTCAAATCCCGTGTGTACCGGATACTAGGATTAAACCAATAACGGCCCGCTTCTCTATTTCCATCTTTTTCAGTTTTCTCAACTACCTCTCAGCAGTAAATCTCCGGCGATGTTTCATCAATGTTAACGAAGACGAAAGACAAAATACGAAAACAAAATACTGTGCAACGTGCTATCCTCGTGATAAGTGGTAATGAAATGTGACCTTCGCCCCCACTCACTCGGTGTTGCCAAACCACGCTATAAGTAAACGAATCCCGCTTTTTTTTTTTTCGTACTCTAGGTACTTGCTACTATGGCTCCTAAAAACCGAGTTGACGCATCAACTACTTTTCCCCATCCCGGCAGTTGTGCTAAAGCAGTGCGAAGGTTACTTGGAATCTCAGGTTTTTTTTATATTTAATAATTGGCAGTTCACAACAGCGTGTTTTTTAAATTTCAACAATTTTAACCGTGAACAACCAGCGTATTATCCGCACTGGTGGATAGTCCGCAGCTTCAAAAATTCACATTTTAAACACAGATAGTCCGCGGACTATACACGCGAAATTACGGTAATTAATTTTAAAATAAAATTAGGCCACATTTCAGACTTCCAGTTTTTAAATTTTCTCAAGAATCTTAAACCTGTATCTACTCTTCACTTAATATTACAAGTTCCATATTTGAGTCCTTGTTATTTATCATATAGTAAGATTTATAATTCCCCCCCCTTAAAATCTAACTAATATGGTAACATTTTGATTAATTTAAGTGTTTCTGTGTATGATATTTTGATATGTGCATGTTGTTATATCAGTGTTCAGTCTTTAACATATTTATTTGTTTTCCAGTTTTATCCTAAGTCTGGCCCTTGGGAAGGAGGCACAAATATCACAATAAAAGGCATCAATTTAGGGAGAGTGTTTCAAGATATTGCTGGAGGTGTTAGAATAATACATGAGGATAGAAAAGTAATAGCTGAATGTATACCCCATGAAGAGCTTTACATCAAAACTACACAGTAAGCTAACATAACTATTATTAGATATATTTTTATCTAGTTAAGAAGCTAATTTGTCAGCTTATAAGTTGCAGCAAAATTAAAAAATTATAAATATTTTTCAGGATTAATTATTTGTTGTTTTTATTTATTTAGTTAAGAAATTTTTAGAAAATTCATGAAAAATATCCTAATTCAGTTTGATTATTCAATGGTACCTCGTTATATGTCCACTTGCTACATCCAACTTGTACATCCTTGCACAACAAATACTTGCACTTGCTTTATGCGCTGTTTGGTATACGGTATTTGTTTGGAGTTATGGCTGCATTCACTGCATTTGTGTATATTTTTTGACGCAGTGCTATGATTGCCCATGAGCATCACTCCACCTGTTGCCACTACTCAGTATACAATCTGAACTATTAAATCTGAATTTTTAAGTGATTTAGTGTTTTTCCTTATAAATATTTTGTAAATTCTTTAGCAGTGAGTTTTAGAAAAGTTAAGAAGAAAAGTCAAACAACGAAGAAAATTGTTAGAATCATCATAGAGGTGAAAAATGAGATTCTTAAAAAGTATGGAGATGGCATGTGTATTTCTGACTTGGTTGTTGCTATACTACCATGCTGAGTGTGATGTTATCTGTGATTGTTAAACACTGTTAAATTGACTACCAAACAACAGAGACATTAGATCATGTTGAAAATTGCTTTTGTTGTAGATTGCAGAAACAAAAAAATATGTACAGTACCTTGTGCAGTGCTGCATTTGTGTACAGTATGGACTTCACCCATTGCATTTATATTTTAATATTAAACAATGCTAGAATAATAGCAATAGGATTTTTAAAAGAACAGATTAATTATTTTCTCTTTATTTTCTATTGGGAAACTTTGTTTGGTATGTGTCCAAGGATTTGGTACAGATTAATAACATATATCCAAGGTACCTTTATATTTTATCAATATTTTGTTAGTCTTTCTATATATCTTTTCATGTATTATATTTCAAGTTTATTCTTGAATTCTTGTCCTTGTCTGTGTCCACTTATTCTTTTAAAAAGTTACTTAAATTTGTTTTTACAAAATGTTTAATCTTTTTGGTTTTATATTTCTATATAAAATTAATTATCTGTCCAACCGTTGTAGTGGTTATTGACCCCGACTGCCGTAGAGATGGTCTATCCATCCCTTCATAGAAGGCAGTGGTGGCAACTTATGTGCTTCCATAATAACATGGCCACCACTTCGTATATTTTATAGATATTAGCCTTGTAGTGGCACAATGCTAATATATATAAAATAAAACACTGAGCCATTAAAAACATTGATTATCTTTATATGGTATAAGAATTGTTAAAATAATTAAAAATATCTCTTCTTTCCAAATACTTAATCCTATCTCTTTCATTAAATTAGAATTGTGTGCCAGGTTGAGAAACCTCCAAATCTAACGACTGGCTTAATTAGTGGACCTATGCCTGGTTTTGTGGAAGTTAAAGTTTTAAATGATTATACAGCTAGATCAAGAGAGCAGTACTCATTTGTTGTAAGTAAATAATTTTGTTGAAGTAATAATTTGTACTGACTATTTTTTAAAGAATATTGAATTATAAAAAGCTGTTATCAATATATTATGGCAACTAATATATTATTATATATTGAAAATTAGAATCCGAGAATAACATCAATAAAACCTGGGAAAGGTCCAAAGTCTGGAGGCACCATTCTGGAAATCTGGGGTTTGCATATGGATGCAGGTAGCAGAGCAGAAGCATTTGTTGGAGCTTTGCCCTGTAATGTTACCAGGTAAGGGAAGCCATGCTTGAAAATAGTAATTTAAATGACATGGAGATATTATTTTGCAGCAGATTCAAAATAATGGTATTTAATATAATTGAACCAAATTATTAATGGCATTAATTGCAATAATAATGAATTTGTTTTGATATATTTTTCATATAATTATATATATTACAGTTTACTTTGGTCGTATTATCATTATTTCTAAGTATGAGTAGTATAATTTTACATTTATTTAGTCTCATTCATTATTTTTACTTTTTATTTCCAGTCGTGACTCCAACAGAGCTGTATGCATTACTTCCGCGTCAAAAGAGAAAACAACTCAGACTGTGAGAATTAAGTTCGACAATGGACTGCGGGTATTTGAGGATTACAAATTCCTCTATGTTGAGGATCCTGCAATCTCACTTGTTGAATCTGGTTCTACAGGCCAAAGAGGTATTCCCAAAGGAATCCCAAGGTAAATTTTAGTCACAGATTTTTCTTTTATTGATAAGACTTTTTTTTTATATAGTCATTTAATATCTTAATATAAATTTTTGATAAATTAGGTGAAAATTTAATTACATATTTTATGTTTCTGTCATTTGATTTTTAAAGTTGTGTTTTGAAATTTATTCAACTTTCCAGCACATACGTCATGCACAAAGTTTAGGAGAAATTCAGTTTTTAATGAACATTTTTCGCATATCGCAAGAAACGATTGACAGTCATTTCTGTTGAGGGTTGCCACGCTACCTGGAAAACTGGAAAAAGTCAGGGAATTCGGAAATTGACCAAAAAATTCAGGGAAAAGTCAGGGAATTTAAGTGTTTTAGTCAAAATTTGGAAAAGTCAGGGAATTTCATACAACGATCCCGCCAAAAAAGGCGAGTTTTGCACCGACGTCGGAAGAGATCACTTTTTTGGTGAATTGTGTATCACGTGAGTATCATTCGGGCAGCTGGCATAGAGCCAATTTTCGCAGCTCCAATCTGATTGTCTTTTTAGAAAGGCAAAGCAAGTTTCCCGCAACTTTTGGTTTCCAGTAACGTCGAGAATCGCATGTGCAGTGCATGAACTAAAGAAAGTACCTGTTCTCGTATAAAACAAAATGGGTTTAATCCTAGTATACGGTACCATGAAGGTTAAAATCAAAAAATATGTATTGTAAAGAAGGAAAACCTCTCTGCAACAGACGTTTCTCCATTCCATCATAGCAGGAAACAGCTGTGCATGCGCGATATATCTGTCGCCAAAGCATGAAACCGGTGTCGAAGTTCGAAGGTCACGTTATAAAGAGTTCATTAAATGAATATCGTTTAAAATTTCTTTAAACTCTAAAGGAAAAGAAAATATTTTTTGGTGCAAGTAAATTAATTAATGGATTAGCTATTTTGAGGGGAGGGGAAAAAATCTACGAAAATCCGTTTTTAAAATTATTGCGAAAAATCCAAGAAAAAACTATCTTTGATAAAACAATTCTTCTTGGATTTTTCGCAATAATTTAAAAACGGATTTTCGTAGTTTTCTTTTTTGTCTAAGAACATTTCTTCTTAACACGTGTTTCTCAATTTCCTGTACACATCGCGGAGAGGGAAATTCTGGCCGCCAGGTTCCGTCGCCAAATCCCTTGGCAAATTTTCCCTCCGCTTTTTACATAGACGTTCTTTGGTTAGAATAATCTCCATGTATGGTACAGCGGGATTTGGTGACATGATGATGAGCAGTAAACGGGTCATTTTGTTCTTGGCGACAGTTTTCAAAGTCATCGCATTGCGTTGTGATTTATAAGAACCGGATTAGCCTCGTGTTGAACTGGGGATGATCATGAGTAATAATTAAATAAAAAGTACAGTTGTTATCCAATGTATATATTTTAAATTTTATTAAGTTTTTAAAGTGGAAAAGTAAACAAAATTATCAAACAAAGTGTACCAAGAATAATTAAGAATAAATGTCCTCTGGGATTTATTGAATAATTAAGTGAATTTGCTACACAGTACAAGTAATACCATAATTAATTTACCTCTTAGCACAGCCAACGTACATTATGCGGATAACCTGGAATTTTCTTGAAACATACCTGGAAAAGTCAGGGAATTCCATTCTCCTGTTTGAGTGGCAACCCTGTCTGTTCCTTCTTTCAACCCTTCCCCACATCATAGGATGTGCTTATAGGAAGTCATATGTGCCCCCCTTTTTTTTTTTTACTGGTCTTTTGTGCTACGTAGCAGTTTTTTTGTGAAAGTCACGACATGCGCGTAGTTGTGGGTGAAAATTCGAAAAAAATTTTTTTTTTCAAATATTTTGTAATTAATTGACATCTATTATTTTAATTTGTACAGATTCGACTGTTAATTTTTTATATTAGTTTTTATGGCCAAAAAAAAATAATAATGTGCAACCAGCTGATTTTGCTGGCATTTTTTAAGGATTATCCGATGTAGAAAAAGAAGACAAGGAAACCTTTGGATATGAGAACAATAACGATTTAAGTGTGGAAAATATAGACATAACTAATATCAGCAGTGAATCTTAACAATAAATTTCGGATGATGATGATAGTAATGATATAGAAAAAAAGGAATGATGATGATATATCTTCTAAGTGGCGAAAACAGAAGTATGCATACTGCTTGAATATAAATAAATTCGAAATAAAATCGAATAAGATTATTATTGTGAAAATCTTACCTGGCCTAATACAGCATTCCAAGGATATAGAGAATGAAATAGGATAATTTTTGAAAATAATTGCTATAAATATGCTAGATAAAATTTTGGAATGTAAAAATATGTGTATAAGTTTGCTAAAAGGCAAATACTAAAGAGACACGACTAATTGCTACCTCAAGGGTGGAAATGATGGCATTGGATTGTTATATGTGATAGGAATAAAAAAAAAGGACAGCATGTAAATGTTGTTCTCAAGTGATGGCACCGGAACTGAAATAGCAAGAGCTGTGATGAGCTATAAGTTGTCTACAAGTTATCTTCCATTCGATGGTCAATTAACTGGAAGTTGATCTGTCAGCATTATCCTTATCTTCAGGGCAGATGTTTTTATTTTATTCAGCTTATATCTCCGCTCCAGACAGTATCATAAGATTATTATAATTAGGAAATGTTTTTTATAAGTTGCATAGCTTGGATGAATACAGTGCAAATTATTTTTAAGGCCATAGTGTCGATCTTATTCAGAATTTCTCAATTTGTTTCACTCCGGATGATGTGGTTTTCAGATATATAATCTGTTTGCTAAAATAATCCTCAAATGATTTATTTCGAGAATAAAATTACAGCAAACATTTGTTTATGATCAAACAAAATGAAGCAACTGAGAAAAGCTGAGAAAAAATTACTTGTTTTTAAAGGGAAAGCAAGGAAAAAATATAGTCTCGTTCACCTTTGGTAATAATCCATATATTAATTTAGAAGTGTTGATTTTTGCCTCTTTGTTTAATAAAAGTAAATTGATTTTTTTCAACGCTAAAATCATAATTTTGTTTACTATTTCAGTGGTGGGATTACAATCAGTGTGAAAGGTACAAATTTGAATGCAGTTCAGCATCCTTTTATGTACACGATTGTTGACAATGAAGAATATAATAGTGTAAGTAGCATTCTTACATATTTACAGTGCTATGTTTTGTTAAAATGTTATTTTGAAGTGCTTATTTAAATCACTCTTCATGCTGATTTTTTAGAGCTGTATTGTTGAATCAGCTACAGAGATGAAATGCAAAAGTCCCAGGGTACCTGCTGAAAAACTGGACTTTTCTTCAGATAATATGGAGGCCCATCCTATTGAGCTGGAGTATGGATTTAAAATGGATCACGTTGAGCAAGTTCAAAATCTTAGCAGTAAAGCTAAATATACTAAGTTTATGATGTATCCAGATCCAGTTTATTATCCTTTCAGTGAAAAGAATGGTGTTAAATATTACAAAAGTGATTACCTCACTATAAATGTAAGTATGATGTTTATAACATGGATAGTATAATGTAAAGTCAAAATTAATTATAAGAAATTTTTTAACATAAATTTGAGCATAAAAAACAGTTAAGCATTTTTATATTTAGCTGGTTTTATGTTTATTATTAAAAATTAATCCAAGCACGTCAGTCAATGCTTTTTTATTTTACATAATTTATTGAAGTAGAGTGTAGTAATATCGGTAAATAAATTTTGTAAATTATATTTTAATCATAGTGTATATTTTTAGTTTTATGGATTCATTGTATTTTAAGGCTTAGTTGAAATATCAAGAGGGAGAATATTAGCAGTTTGATTGATTATTCCTAATAATTTAAATAATATCGTGTTTACATTTTTTTACTTTTCAGTTTAAATATCTATTTAAATTTCTGAACAATAGTGCTTGGAAGAAGTTATTATTCAGTAGTTACATTGCAGAATTGTATAGAATACTCCAAATTCTTTTAATCGTTTAATGAAGCTGTGTTATTATTCTCCATTAGATATATCTGAATTTGGGAAATACTTACATAGTAAATCTAAATTTTAAAAGTAATTTTATAACTTGAAGTTACTATTTTCGCCATTTTGCAGTGTTTTAGTATTTTGCTTTGTCTGCTATCTTTTATTAAAAGAAAAAGGAGGGGAGGAAAGAAGCTGCATTTCCTGTTGGATAAATTCTTTTAATATACTGTTGCGGGCTTCTGGTTTGTTGATATCTCTTTGGATCACTCTGTATAAAAGGAGAGAATTAACAATTGATTATAAAATTAATTACAAACAGCACGGTAAATAATTTTAAAGCCTAAGTGGAACAGGGATATAAACAAGTCCTCCTTAACGTAGGAGAAATATCTACAGTTGCCGTGCAGAGTAAACTTGCTATTCAGCTAAATCTTGCAGCTGAGTAATAACTAAAACAGCAACAAATTATCCAAGCTATCATCTATTAGCTGCATTTACATAGGTCTGGTGTAGCACAAACTTCTGGAAATTTTGGGAAATATTTGTCACTAATGTCCGTGAGGCTTGTATCTCACATTTCACTTAAACTATTTTTACATTCTGAATGTTGCTTCTTTCAGAGGAATAAAATCAGTAATTCTATGTAATAAACGAGCACTCATATACAGGGGTTGGAGAAAAATATGGAAACGCCTTTAAAAAAACATGTTTCTTTGCTTAATATGGTGTAGGAAACCCGTTGGCATCCAAAACAGCTTGCAGTCTTCTCGGAATGGATAAATACAGTTCCTGTATGTTTGCCAAGGGAATATTATACCATTCTTCCTGCAAAACGGTGGAAAGTTCAGATAACGATGTTGGCGGTGGATAACGAGAACGCACTTTCCGTTCCAATGTAGACCACAAAGGTTCGATAATATTCTCAGGTCTGGTGGTGACTGGGAGTGGAAGGGGAGGAGAGGGGACAACTCATCCTCGTGCTCAGAAAACCAGTCCTGGACAATATGAGCTGTGTAAACAGGGGCTTTGTCATCTGGAAGACACCATCACCATCGGGGAACAAGTTTGTACCATGGGATGAACTTGATCGGCCAAAATGTTCACATAAGTCTTGGCAGTCATGTGCCCTGACACAGTTATCATGGGGCTAGCAGAGAACCACGATAGGGCTGCCCAAACCATAACAGAACCCCCGCCATGTTTCACTCTTGGCAACAAGCAGTCTGTATTATAGGCTTGAGATGGCGTTCTCCAGCCGTAAACTCGGCCAGAAGAGGGAAACAATGTGAAAGAAGACTCATCAGACCATATTACTCGCTTCCACTGCTCTATAGTCCAGGCTTTATGACTTAAACACCACCTTTTCCTATTACGGGCATTAGCATCACTGATGAGTAGCTTCTCAATTGCAGCACGGCCAGCAATTCCCTGTTTAAGAAGCTCCCTTCTAATTGTTTTGGTACTCACAGGGTTCCGTAATACAACATTCATTTCAACAGTAACTTTTGCAGCTGTGGTCTTCTTATTTTTCGTCACAATTGCCCTTAATGATCGTCTGTCACGATCACTCAGGACACACTTTCGTCCGCGCTGTGATTTAGCAGATGATGTTTTCCGCTTTTCAATATGCGGAATAAGTCTTCGATACAGTACCTCTCGAAACACTAAACACCTCGGCTGCCTTGCTTACAAAAGCACCTACCATACGTGCTCCAACAATTTGCCCACGTTCGAAGTCTGTTAACTCTGACATAATGCAATGACAACCTCACATAACAGTACTCCGACAACATCTGAACTGTTTAGCACATTTACAAAGTTGTATAGGTGGCGTCAGTAGTCAAAAACGCCAGCGCCACCTACATATTTCATTAAAATCAATCTTTCTTTTCAAACATGCATTTCACGAGGTGTTTCCATATTTTTGTCCATCCACTGTATAACAATATATGTATGCAGCTAAAAATGCTATTTAAACATCACTAAAAAATATTATCAATTTAAAATGAAGCTAAATAATTTCCATTTATTTATGTTAAATTATTATTATAAATTATAAAGATCATATTTTAAGCTGTAGCAATTAATAGTACAAACTATGTGTGTATTGAAAATTAAACGTAAAATTCTAATGAACATTGTTAATATGTTTAATTTTTGTAGGGAATGAATTTAGATAGAGCTTCTCAAGAAACTGATGTGATTGTACGCATTGGTACCAGTTATTGCAATGTCACATCCTTGTCACGCTCTCAACTAACTTGTAGGCCACCTACAACACAGCCTCCTGCTCGAGATGCTAATGGGAAGCCTGATCCAAATAAGATTCCCCAAGTTGTGGTAATTATTCTATTGTTTTTTTTATCTTTTTTATATTTTAGAAACTGTTTTATTGCTGTGTAATATGATAAAAATATTTACTTTATTAACAGACACATATATTCAACTCAGCATGATAAGAGTTCATTTTCTGAAGCTAATATTCGACTGTGATAAACATTTATAAGTCATAGCAAATTCCATGTCATTAAGTATAGCCCTGATGTAATTAAATTTATTGCTCTCATTATGAAGCAATTTAGCCTCATTCCTCAGTTTTACATCCGCTTCACTTTTGTGGTGAATCACTTTTCAAATAAAAAGTTGCTGCCTCTGCATGTTTATCACTATGCATTATTTTTAAAGGAATAATATAATGAATATTAAAGTAAAAAAGTGAAGACAATGCATAGCACTCTATTGGGAATTCAAAGATATGCTGCTTTTAAAAATATTGTGATTGTTAAGTCATTGATATGTGAATCTGAAACACTACATGACCAAAATATACCACATGATCCATGTGATATTTCCAAATCAAAGCTTGAGAATGGATATGTATATGAATACATATAGTTATTATTTCCTTTAAAAAGCAACATACTAAAATATTGGTAATTGGTAAACTAACCTTTTTTCCTTGTAAGAGGACTATTTAAGTGTTAAGATATATTCTATCTTAAATTAAAGTTTATACAGTAAAAGTCCAGAAATCTGCAGCTTGGGACATGTAATTAATCTTTAGCTTGGGACCAGAGGTTGTGCGGATTTTAGGATTTTGCGAATGTCAGGACAGAAAAGATAATATTCAGACTAAAAGTCCAAAATAAATAAGACGTATTAGATACATTTAATTAAATTATTATATACATTGATACACTAATTAATTATATGCATTAAATTATTATTGCATATATAAAACTGATTATATTATATTGTTCATTTACATTAGGCTCCTCTATTTTTAAATCAGCAGGAATCTGCTTCCCCTTTTCTCTCAGGAGTACAGGTTAGGCTTGGCGCAGGCCTGAAGTAGGTACTCCGCCATTGCAGGAACCACTCGTACAAGACAAAATCGAGGTTTGCTGATTTTGCCTATGTAAAGATTTCCGGTTTCGGATTCCGATGTTAGAATCACTGTTGCTGTAAAATTTGAACAGCTTTTCTTTATTGTTCCATATATCATACACAGTCCCTGTGGCAATTCTATACGAATCTTCTATAAAGAGCAGTAGCACCTGCCTCCATCTTTATGGAATAGAGTAATAAAAAATGAGTAGTGTGTATAATTATCATTGAACCATAAATTTTCTAAACAAATTAGATTTAATTTTCAAATGATCAACCACTTCGTGTTACACTTCATATTTTAAATAGCTCACTGCTGTTTAAAACATATAATTGGTAGGAAGTCATGTGCTGGCCACATCTGTTTTTTTTGGGGGGGGGACATGAAATTTTATATTAACCTGACTAAAACGTCCCTTTAAAAAGCAACATACTAAAATATTGGTAATTGGTAACTAACCTTTTTTCCTTGTAAGAGGACTATTTAAGTGTTAAGATATATTCTATCTTAAATTAAAGTTTATACAGTAAAAGTCCAGAAATCTGCAGCTTGGGACATGTAATTAATCTTTAGCTTGGGACCAGAGGTTGTGCGGATTTTAGGATTTTGCGAATGTCAGGACAGAAAAGATAATATTCAGACTAAAAGTCCAAAATAAATAAGACGTATTAGATACATTTAATTAAATTATTATATACATTGATACACTAATTAATTATATGCATTAAATTATTATTGCATATATAAACTGATTATATTATATTGTTCATTTACATTAGGCTCCTCTCTATTTTAAATCAGCAGGAATCTGCTTCCCCTTTTCTCTCAGGAGTACAGGTTAGGCTTGGCGCAGGCCTGAAGTAGGTACTCCGCCATTGCAGGAACCACTCGTACAAGACAAAATCGAGGTTTGCTGATTTTGCCTATGTAAAGATTTCCGGTTTCGGATTCCGATGTTAGAATCACTGTTGCTGTAAAATTTCAACAGCTTTTCTTTATTGTTCCATATATCATACACAGTCCCTGTGGCAATTCTATACGAATCTTCTATAAAGAGCAGTAGCACCTGCCTCCATCTTTAGCAGAATTTCCACTTTTTTCATTACCGTCAGTGCAACGCGCTTACGTTTTTCAACGTCGCAAGCAGTAAAATGAGTGCGTTTCTCATCTGTCATTGTATTAAAAAGCACTGAAATTAAAAATATTTTTAATATATCCACAAAATATCCGGATAAAAAAACGACATTACTAAACAATCTCATGAAATAAAAGCTCAGAAAGTACAACAACGTGAAGCGTGAACTTGAAAGAAGAGTTGAGTTAATCATCTGTTTTTTTTACCTCGATGCAGATTGGAGGGAAAAAAACTCTTATCATGATGTCAATAATTTGGTATTTCCATTATGACTCATTATTATTCGGTAGTTATGACATTATTATCCAGTAAGTATTTTTTCTTCGATATTTCGTACTCCATGTTGCGGTTCCCGGAACCTATAAACTAAATGTTTATATTTTGAGAGGCAACGCAGATTTCAGGAATTTGAGGATTTTCGGTATTTGACTGTATATAAATATGCCCTGTAGAGTTTGGAGAACAAAAAATTAAAAAGTGTATATCAAAGATATTTTTAAGTTGTCAAAGCATTTGTCTGATATTTTTTACATTCAGTTTTAATTTAGTTAACCAGAAATTAAATTTGAGATCAAGTAAATAAAATGGTAATTTTGCTAGATAGAAGTGATTGTTGGTTTTCATTCTTAGGAGGAGCAACCAGAAAATACCTTCAGGAAGTGTTTATATATTGATGCATTATTTTGATGTTACAAACATTTGTCAAATACATAAATAATCAAAGGTGATATCAACTAATAATGTGTATTACCGTATTTGACGGCATATAAGACGCACTTTTTTTCCTAAATTTGGTCTCAAAAAAGTTACCTGTGTCTTATACATGAAGGACACAGGTTAACTTTCAATACTGAATGCTATTTTTAGCTCGAATAAAGGTCTAGACACACATAACTTTCTCTACATCTTCCATAATTATTTTGCGCATGCGTGAAATATCTGTCGCCAAAAAGCGCCAAAGCTCAAAGCTGCGATGTTGATGATCGAACAGGTTCGACGGTCCACATTACATCTATGGAGCCTTTACTTCTTTACGTAGACTTTCTTTTACTCAGGCCGAACACACGTGTTGGTATCAGTGATACTCTGTATAAATATGTCGGTATCAGTGTTTAAAACTATTTGTTTTAAAAAAATACCCTGGAAAATATGACTACAAGAAACAATAGATTAAGCTATACAATTCAGTATAAACTAGGAGTGTTAAACTATGCCTAAGTGCATGTTTCTGCATGTTTATGCATTGTTTCTGCTTTATTTTGTATTATGTTTGATTGCTTGCCGTTCATTCATTTATTCATTATTGAAATTTACATATCATGTTCAAAACAGCTTGCCGTTTGTTAATTTTTCTTAATAAAAGTATGTTTGGTAATTGCATTCAATGATTGTTTCGGACTATTGAAATTTTTTTTCCTTGTGTGTGGCCTTCTAAATAAGGGTGCGGTGCGTCTTATATGCCTTCAAATACGGTATTTAGATTTTGCAATACATTGATTTTTGGGAAGTATCTATACAGTTTGGTATAACTATCTGTTTAACATGATAAAGAATAATTGCTTGAGGGAAATTGTGCAAAAATTAAAATAGGGGAAAGAAGATTTTAAATTCTGAACTTCCTAAACCATAGCTTTTGAAAACAAAAATTAAGGTGGAAAATAGATAAAAAACCTGCTAATAAGTAGACAGTACCATAGAATTTTTTTTTAACTAGGATGTAGAACCAGAGTGATGATAATAGATTGCTTGAAAGCAGATTGTTAGAATTAAATATCTTTTTATCACATATATTTATAAGCTTTATTTTAATAGTGCTGATTTTTCCTCATTATGTGTGTCTGTTTAATTATATTATTTGTGTCCATGTAAATGGTTGTTTTATTTTTTAAAATATAAGCTTACTTGCTTTATTTTAAATATAAGCTTACTTGCTTTATTTTAAATGTAAGCTTATCAGCATTCTCTTCTGCTTGCTAACATTTTATTTGCAATAAATTTAAAATTTATACACTTTACTTTCTTGTGCATTTTTTTTACAAGCTGAATAATTCAGTTTATAACTGCTTCTGTATTCAGTGCTTCACAATGTTTCTGTCCCTCAGCCATATATATTGAGTGAATCATTTATGAGCTGATTATCAATTTTATTAATAAACTTGGTTTTAAGTGTATCACATTCAAGTGGAAATTTTTTTATCATTTTCTGTATGACATGGCCATTTACATCTAAACAGAATTTTCTCTGCTTCATATTAAAGTAAATGTATAAATAATTGTAAATTACATATCTAAATAATGTCTGTAACTAAAGATCTTATAAATAGGAATATCTTAGGATTACATCTATAAATAATAATAATGAATTACAAATTATATTGAAATACTAAGGAAAATAAAATGTTTTATTTTAAAGAAATGTATATAAAAAAGAATGTTGTTAATGAATGATATTTTATGGGTATTTATGGGTATAAAATATTTTATTTTAAAGAAATGTATATAAAAAGAATGGTGTTAATGAATGATATTTTAGGGTATTTATGGGTATAAAGTATTTTATTTTAAAGAAATGTATATAAAAAAGAATGGTGTTAATGAATGATATTTTATAGGTATATTTAAAAAAAAATGCTTTTAATAAAAGAGTGGTAAATTAAGGGAAAAAGCAGTAACAATGATTAATTGTGATTCTGAATTTTTGCAGAAATTACTTGACGTACTTCTATTTCTATTGAGTATTTTAAAATACTTCATTCTTTATAAGCATTTTCTAATACAATGAAAAAAAAAATGATAATTTTTTTTATTATTTTGTAG